ATCGACTTGGTCATGATTTCACACAACTTACTTTCTCTACTTACTGTGCTGAATATTCAGGTGAAAAGAAAGGACCAACTGTCGACAGGTCACTTCTCACTGTCAACACACTGCTCATTTCAAAATCTCAGACGGTGCAAAATATACTTACCAAACCGACTGGGAAGTCCTAGAAGATGAAGGTGTGAGAAACGGTTTACGGACGAGGCATCACTGATGTTGAATCAGATACTGGCCATGATTCGGATATTGAGACAGAATGAGAGGCACAACTGTATCAGCAGCATATCAAACTTGGCGGCAAGAAAGGAACTCCTTAACGAAAGCCAGAAGTTCAGAGCGAAGAATAAGGGGAATTTAATCTGGATTGCGTACAAAACCTCATTTTCCTTGCGCATTCAGTAGACTGAAGTCGCGACACAAGCAGTGAAACAAAGGCAAGGGCTCTGGAATAATTTGGAGAGAAACTAAACTCGGATCACTAATCGGCCAACAGTCTTCTGGTAAATCAACGCCGTTGGGTTGGGCAAAGACCAAGTATCGTATGAGCAGTGAATTTGGAGTGAAACCCAACCTGAGAGGAAAGAATCCTAATGACGGAAATACTCTTAGGCTCTCATCAATTAGGTTGTTCAGACACTAGTGATAATCATGAACTGCATTTTGGGAAGAACAGTAGTGTAACAGTGACTGAAGTGGCACCTCCGGTTACATCGCTGATAGGGGCAGAACTGCTGCAGGAGACGAAGTTCGACCCAAGATGCTAAAAACCATCAGTCACGATGATAATCTCTGGCTTAGTCGGGTATACCAGACTGCTTCATGTTCTGGAAAAGCATCAAAGCAGTGACAAACACTTTAGTGGTTATTACACTGCTCAAAAAGATTGCAGCAACTAGAGAGTCACTTCTCTGCACAGCGCGACGCGAGGAGTTTTAGAAAGACATCAAAACGGTGGAAATTTGACGCGGTTATCCCGTGTTCAAAAATAGGTATTAGTAAACCTGCAGCAACCATGGAGTCAAAGACTTGACGTTGGCTATAGGGCGTTCCCGACTTCTTCACTGCCTCACTCAGATCGTTTGTCTTTTCCTTGAATGTCATCTTGTTATGTATCCTTCAAGTGCTTTGGGAATATGGAATATTTGGGCTAAGTTAAAAATACCAATTCACAGAAACACGCTGGTCTCTTGCCTCAATTTGGAAAGTGTTGCTACGCAGCACAGAGACCCCTGCTACAGCGAAAAACCCACATCTACGACTAAGCAGCAATGGCATTACACCAGTTCAAATTATACAGCAATTTTGGACGTCCCTCTGCTGGTTCTTCATTGGTGTTTTATCAGTTAACAGCAGTCAATGTATTACTTTGGCAATGTAATATTTTTAGGAAAACAGCCTGCCTTGTTACCTTTTCATCTCAAATTCTTCAAAATCAGTTGGAAGAAATCCAGCGCGGAGAAAAGTCTGACTATAGCAAGGCGTCATTTTTCCGCTATTCAAATTTAACATCTTACCAATGAATGTGCTGTCACTGCTAAGCTACAACATAAAATACTACAAAGATATACAAAGCAGTGCTAGTTCCATGAGGTCGTCTGAAAACAAGGTATGTATGGAAAAGGTCATCCTGCATACGAGAACACTACTGACTTTATTGCCTGTCCATTAATTTGTCTTTTATTCATGTTCTATTATTCCATTTCAGTCTTCTTTATTCACTGAAACGGTGATTCTGTTTGCGCCGTTAACTGCACTGAGAAAATGTACAATGCCAAACGTCTTCGCTTCGTTTTGTGATATAATCTTTTGTATGCTGAAAAATATGTTACAGTCCAAAGTGGTAATCACTGCATATCGGTGTGAATTGACGCTGATTCGTTACTCAGTTCAACGCGGTGTAATCTTTCTCAATGGCTGCCTCAGTGGCTAGTGCTTCGCATTCCGCTAGTTGCCTTCGTAAACACTCGGTACCACTTATCATTCGATGAATAATCTATCTCCAAACAAAGATAAGATTATATGTGGCACATCTCTTCAGCGATGCACAGGTTAGTTTTCTACAGTCGAACTTTCTTGTTCAAAGGAATTATGCCCCAACTAATATGGGGCGCCGAGAACTGTCAAAAGGTTTCTTTTCTACATCAAACATGCCAGAAATGACTCTTCGTCGTTATTGTTCTGGGGCTGGATCTAACTTTGTGCAATTCGTATTCAAGGTTGAAACCGATTGTCTCAAATTCACAGAAGTGCCATTTACAACACAGGTAACAATTTTATCCTATAAATTGTTTAGCTTTAACTTACTGTAGGAGCAGGGGTTTTAAACGACTTATCTCTGAATTCATTCGACACATACTATCATCTTCATCTTCATCTTCCATCGCCGCTTCTCCTTTCGGGTCGCGGAGGCAGACGCGTCAGACAG